CATTAATAGCTACATTGTTACTACTGCAGGATTCAACTTTCTCTCTTGCCAGTTCTACTGCCTGAGTGCCTGTACTTTAAGCTGTATTGCTCATCTTCTAATTCTGTTTGTGTTACTGGAACCAGCTCTTGAAGCATGATGTGAGTTAACCATGGCCTTTTAATTTATAAAATACTTGGTCTATATACTTCATGGCATATAGTATTAACACTTGTAGCATTATTTAATAGTGTTAATTTTAATGTGCTTGATACAAGAATCAAGCATTTAAAACGCCTATTATCCAATTTTTAGTCAGAAACTAAGTTGCCTGACTATACATGTAGACTAATTTATTTATTTACTTCAATTCATTTATTATACATTTCAAATGTGGTTTTTTGGACCACTTCTAATAATTTCTCTAACTTTTCCTTCTATGACTGTGGTTGTTTACAATGTTTAAGCATGTCACTTGCTATTCTTAGTATTCCTAGCATAGTTGATATGTTTATGTTGTCTCCTTATGCTTATTTATGCTTGTTATTCTTTATCTGTGTATAGATGGATTCTTCTGAATGTGTAGTCCTGTTATTTATACTGTTAGCAGCTCAAAGTACAATATAATTTCATTGATAATGATTTGTCATCATTTTTTGAACAGAATCTTTAGGAAAGTGTCTGTCAGAAGATTCTACAATTGTGCCTCTTGCAACAAGTATGTCAAGTACAAAATATAGTATTTTAAATAATTAGTAAACTTTTTGCATGTAATTACAATTTATAGTAGAATTTGCATCACAAAGGTAGGCTCATTGTTAGAATGTTGGTATGGAATCTTTTTTGTCCTTGTTTCTACTCTTTCTTTTATCAGTATCAATACATAGTCTTTAGCCAAATTTCATCAAGAATGACATTAGAGAAATTTTCATATTTATAATTTTTTCAATGCACTTACATATATATCAAATTTGGCATTTTTTAATTTTAATTTTGCTCCAAAATCAGATCAAAGTCCTTGTACTATAGTACATGGTCGTAGGCCAAATTTTACCAAAAATATGAAGAAGAGAATTCTTCACTTTTATGATATTTTCTGATACATATGAGTATTTATGTTGTGTAAAAAGTTTTTGCTGATTCCGATAGCAATTTACAAAAATTTTTAAAGTTGCTTCAAAATTGAGCTATTATGACTGTAGTATATGGTCATCAGTCAAATTTCACCAAAAATATATAAAGAAAAATTTCTCTACTTTCATAATTTTTCTGATTTGCATACATGTATTTATGTTATGTACAAAATTTGAGTTAATTTTGATCAAAATTGCATTTTTACAAATTTTTAATTTGCTTGAAAAGCTATGCATCATCATATTAATGCTTATCGGCTCAGAGAGCATGCTATTTACCTCATTTAGCATGGATTGTGTTACCCAATGTGAATCTCATTAGATCACCCCTGTATTTGTGCCTATAG